TCTCAACTCCTTGTGTTTTGGTCTCAACTGTCACCCATCATCAWCATCATCCCCAGAATTTATTGCTTCAGTAAAACAATGTCGACATGGCGCTTCATGAAAAATGTAATAAATATATACAATTTCTTTGGAGTTTCCACGTGTCACAAACAAAAACATTTACTAGACTATAAAAATAAAATATGAAGGCCAACACGTGACAGTAATCAGCGATCCATTTAAATGAATACTGCCTGCAGAAATCATCTAATGATGAGAAGGAACAGTTTAGTTGTTTCATTAAAATCCATCCGCTGGTTTATRAGATATTTTGCTAATGCAGACAAAAGTGTTGGCTTAGCACCACAATACATGAAAGATATGCTGTTGTTGTAYCAAMCTTCCAGACATTTCAGGTCTTCTGGTTCTGGTCTACATCCCCAGAACCAGAACCAAACATGGAGAAGCAACATTCAGCTTGTGTAGCTGGCACCACAAATCTGGAACAAACTTCCAGAAAATTGTAAAACAACCGAAAATCAGAGTTCCTTTAAATCAAGCCTGAAAACCCACCTGTTTAGAGWTGCTWATGAAACACTGTAAATGTAATATTAGTCAACATTCTGATGTGGAACAATGGCACTTSACAAACTGTAATGCTTCAAATGTTAACTGTGTATGACTTTGTAAAATTTTTTTTCAATTTTATGATGTAAAGCACTTTGAACTCCCTTGTTGCTGAAATGTTTTTCGATACAAGGCCCGGGCCGAACTTTTTCTAACAGGAGTATGAGCAAAGAATTGTGTGATTGGTCGGAAATTAGTGAGTTGTTTGATTATGCAGAAAAGAGCTCGGACAGCAATAGTGGTATTTTGCTTCAACCACTCCTCTTCTGGAAGCTAACTGTTTTGCATCCAAACAACATGGACAGTTTTGAGGAGCAGTTATYCGAGGCAGTCAGAAACAACATCCATCTATGGCTCTTCCAGACACATATAGAGTCAAATGGTCAGAAACTYCTGGATGGAGAGAGCACAGACATTCTGGAAGGAGGAATCCATCTTCTGGAAAGTGTGGCGCTCTTCCTGTGCCAGGTTTGGGGCCAAAAGGTGGATGAAGGGACGGAGTAGAAACCCAGATGGGATAAAAACATGATTTGACTTGTATAGCAGTGGGAGGAGTTTCCCAAGAGCTAAGTACCTTGTGTCTCCGGGGCTGTGGATGAGATGCACAAAAACAAATGCCTCCCAACCATGAGACCAACTGTTCATATGTAGAATAAAAACGACCTTGAACCTGACCTTATCTTAGACGTGTCATATGACACCATAAACATCACTCAGGGTGTATTCACACCTGATTTTGTCCACTTTAAACAGATGAGAGTTCATTTCCCCTKTTGGTCTGAACCATTTTTTGCAGGTGTGAATACACTCAACTTAACCCAGGTGTGAACCAAATAAATGAACCAAGACCCACTTTTTGAGGCAGTCTTGGTCYGCTTTCAACTCTGTTGTGGTTTGCTTCTGRTGTGAACACAGACTGGCCTTAAACAGAACCAACTAAAAGAAACATACACGTTTTTTAGACTTCATGAATCACCATATTGCTTGTCAACTAGGGGTGTAAATCACCAGCTTTATCACGATACGATATTATATCGATTTGTTTGGATGATGATTTGATATTTCTCTATATCACAAGGTCTGTCACGATACSATTTAGATTCAATTCAATTCACATGTCTGCGATTGATATAATGTGATATCATATGCCCATCTAACACAATGACTGTGTTAGATGGGCATATGATACATCAAGCATATGATGACAATATAGATAGATATTTTCATTTTGCCTCAATATAATTGAATCATGAACCATTATATCGATATAGATCAATATGGACTGATGTAATGTTACACCCCTATTGCCAACATGGTAAAAAAATGAGCCCTTCAGTGTTGCTAATCCTAACACTACATGAACGCTACAGACAATGACAGATCAGGAGCAACATGGAAACGCTGTGGTTGTGTCCAAAACGGCAGGCTGGGTCCTCCGAAGGCCCAATTTGTYGGCCGTACACATCACAGCGCAGCGATGGAGGCCGTCCAAAACTGAAGACTCCTCTGATGCGGCCGAAAAATGTGTCCTTCCTTTGGCCCGAATCGAAAGACTGGTCCGATGGATCCTTCCCGGCCCAGCATATCCCATAATGCATTGCGGCCCGACTAGAGATTTTTTTTATGCTAGTAATGGCTGATGAAGCAAGAGAAAAGAATATGTTATAAATAAAAATATGGTGATATAAAAATTAAAATTTTTAGCGGTTGTGTTTTTAAAACTTTTATCATTTGTATAGACATGTTATTTGTGTCAGAAAAAAACAAACTTATATAGCAAAATAAACTTGCACCTACGGTGGGTCCATTAGTTCACCAAATATTACCTTTAAGTTAATTTTATAGTTTTGTGATATTAATAAGACTAATATATTGATATTTTTCTAATTTCAATCTAATTTTGCTTCTGCTTAGCGTCGTCACGTTTGCAAGTGACATGACGTACACCGGGGTAAGGACAGGAGGCTAGACCGTCTAAATTCACAGACACATTTTTCCAATCTTCCCAGTCTACCAGGACCCGGCCCACCTCGACCGCGTAGGCTGGGTCCTTCGGAGGACCCGGCCTGCCATTTTGGACATAGCCTGTGCCTCCTTAACATTTGAAGAAATGAACACATAACKGGCATAACACATGCAGCACACAGGACTTCCACCTTTCTAAAGAAAAAAATCAATAAACAAGYGACCAAACAAGCGGATCAAAGGACTTTCCTGGTTTGAATACACCCTTAAAGTGGAAATTTCTCAGTATAGTTGCCYTCTAGCATCCAGCTTTAAGGGTAATTATCGTCTTCTTTGATCTATGGGTCTTTGTGGGTGTCGTACGGCACATAAAAGGACTCAAATGCAAGACTCAACACAGTCACTCAAAATCATAATCCGTTTATTGGGTCCAGGGTCGGTACACAAAGTGGCAGTCCAGGTTAAGGTATCCAAAACAGAGGCAGAGGCGAATCCAAAATACAAGCTGGGTCAAGTTCACTGGAAGACAAAGTAGAATAAATGCTGGAACGCTTAACACTAAGGATGAAGACGAACTGGCAAAGGGGAGCTGCATGGTGTGAGGTTAAATGAACAAAGGAGGACATGTGATACAGGTGTATGAGATTAGGGTGTGGCAGTGGTGATTAGAGGGAATCTCAGGAAGTGAAGTTGTCTGAAATGAGACAGGAAGTTAGTGTACAAAATAAAACAGGAAGTTTAAAAATGAAACAAGATCAAATGCACAATGGTGGGGACATTAAYCAGCAGAGCTGTCCTTGACAGTGGGATCTTCTGATCCTCTGAGTAAAACCAACCCATACATCCTGAAATTAGCCATAAAATCATAAATACCTTAAATTCTCAGTTCATATCATTACGGTAAAACATTAAAACTAATAAAAGTTAATCTTCTTCTTCAGGTGAAGGTGTGGATGTGAGTCAGAACCATGGATCGATGGAATGATGTTGAGGAGAATGCTCCTCTGCTTGGAGAACCCAGGGTCAAAGGTCAAAGGTCAGATGAGTTTTCTCTCAGAGTTCAGAACTTTAAAATTTGAATTATTATTAATATTTTGTGTATTTTCCTGTTATGTTACAGAACAGAACAAAATTCCACTCAAACATCAAGTCACAGTTTCATCTCAACATGTCTGACCTGGTGCTGCTCCTTCTGGTACTTTTCTCATTTATCTTTAGATGTTTGTTAGTTTTTATCTCTAAATATACTTTAAATATTGTGTATTATTTCTAGTTGTGTATAAGTACACACTGTCTGCTGTGTTATTTAATAAAACCAATTAATTGTACTGTAAAGTTTATGATTTTCACACATTTAGTAAAGTTTTCCACTTGTTTTGTCTTTTCTAGTAATCCTCAGAGACCTGACTCTCCAGAGTCTGAACCTGTGTCTGGACCAGAACCCAGACCTGAACATGAATCTTTACTACAGCCTGAATATGGAACTATATATGAACCAGGACCCATACTAAGACCTGAACCAGAACCCTTACAAAGAGCTGAACCCCTACCAGGACCTGTCATAAGACCTGAACCAGGACCCATACAAGGATCTGGACCTTTATTAGGATCTGAACATAAAACTTTACGTGGACCCAAACCATTACTTGGACCTGCAACAAAGCCTGAACCAGAACCAATACAAAGACCTGCACCTCAATCTGCATCAAGACCTGAACCAGAACCAATACAAAGACCTGAACCAGAACCAATACAAAGACCTGAACCAGAACCAATACAAAGACCTGAACCAGAACCCATTCAAAGACCTGAACCAGAACCCATACAAAGACCTGAACCAGAACCCATTCAAAGACCTGAAACAGAACCCTTACAAAGAGCTAAAGCACTACCAGGACCTGTCATAAGACCTGAACCAGGACCCATACGAGGATCTGGACCTTTATTAGGATCTGAACATAAAACTTTACGTGGACCCAAACCATTACCTGGACCTGCAACAAAGCCTGGACCAGAACCAATACTAAGACCTGCACCTCAATCTGCATCACGACCTGAACCAGAACCAATACCAAGACCTGCACCAGAACCAATACCAAGACCTGAACCAGAACCAATACAAAGACCTGAACCAGAACCCATACCAAGACCTGAACCAGAACCCTTACAAAGAGCTAAAGCGCTAACAGGACCTGTCATAAGACCTGAACCAGAACCAATACTAAGACCTGAACCAGAACCAATACAAAGACATGAACCAGAACCCATACCAAGACCTGAACCAGAACCCACACAAAGACCTGAACCAGAACCCATACCAAGACCTGAACCAGAACCAATACTAAGACCTGAACCAGAACCCCTACAAAGACCTGAACCAGAACTCCTACAAACACCCAAACCAGAACCAATACAAAGACCTGAACCAGAACCCATACAAAGATCTGAACCAGAAAAAATACAAAGATCTGAACCAGAACCCACACAAAGATCTGAACCAGAACAAATACAAAGACCTGAACCAGAACCAATACTAAGACCTGAACCAGAACCCCTAAAAACACCTGAACCAGAACCAATACAAAGATCTGAACCAGAACCAGAACCCATACAAAAACCTGAATCAGAACCCATACAAAGACCTGAACCAGAACAAATACAAAGATCTGAACCAGAACCCATACAAAGACCTGTTCTTGAATTAGAACCTGAAACTGAGTATGCAACAGAAGCTGAACCTGAATCTAATCTTGAACCAGGACCTATACTAGAACCTGGAGCCGATTCAACATTGGAATCCGAACCCATATCAGGACTTGTCCCAAAAACTGGATCTGAACTTGTATTAAATCCTAAACAAGAATCCATTCAAGAACCTGTACCTGTATTTGTACCAGAGGCTAAACCCATAGCAGAACCTGAACCTGAATCTGTATCAAAACCTGAACCAGAATTTGTACTTGAAGGACTCACAACCGGACCTATTCTTACTGGACCTGAATCAGATTCTGAATCAAAACCAGAATCTGAATCATTTTATGAACCAGAACCAGTAACCAAATCTGGATCTGCCTCTGTATCAAAACCTAAACAAGAACTCAAACTAGGACCAATTCTTGAACTAGAATCAGAACCAGAACCTGTATCTGAACCAGAACCAGAAAGTGCACATGAAACTGGACCTGAATCTGAATCTTTATCTGAACCAGGATCTGCATCAAAACTTGTACCAGAATCCAAACCTGAACCAGAATCTGCATCTGAACCTGTACCAGAATCCAAACCTGAACAAGAACCCAAACCTGGACCTGTTCTGGAACTAGAATCAGAATCTGTATCTGAACCTGAACTAGAACATGCACATGAATCTGGAACTGAATTTGAATCTTTACCTGAACCAGATTCTGCATCAAAAGCTGTACCAGAATCCAAACCTGAACTAGAATCTGTATCTGAACCAAAACCTGAACATGCACATGAATCTGGACCAAAACCTGAACAAGAACCCAAACCAGGACCTGTTCTTGAACTAGAAGTAACAATGGAACCTGTATCAGAACCTGATCTTGTGTCAACAACTAAACCTAAATCTGCAACTAAACCCAAACCTGAACCAGAAACCAAACAAGGACTTGCACCAGAATTTGGATCTGAACCAGTATTTAAAACTGAACATGAATATTTCGCTGAACCTGAACTCATACCAGCACCTGCACATAAAACTGGACCTGAACCTGACTCTGGATCAAAACCTGAACAAGAACCTGTTCTCGAATCAGTACCTGAACCAGAATCTGTATCTGAACCTGACTCTGCATCAAAATCTGTAACAGAATCCAAACTTGTTCTTGAACCAGAACCTGTACCAGAATCTGTATCTGAACCTGAACCTGCACATAAACCTGGGGCTGACTCCGGAACAAAACCTGAACCCAAACCAGGACCTGTTCTTGAATAGGAACCAGAAACAGAATCTGTTTTTAAATCTGAACTCTTGTCACCTGTTGAAACTGAATCTAGGCTTAAGCCTGACTATACTGAACAGGTGAGATCAGGGTCACCTAAACATGACCTTAGAGTCATGAAGACTTGACTCTCAAGATGACAGTTTGGTTTTTAATAACTCTGGTTTTTATTACTTGGAGTGATGCAAATCATCTTTTTATTTTTATTTTTCTAGCAGCTGTTGTTCATTAAGTTGCTTTAGCGCGTCCCTTTGGTTCAGTCGTTCATCACTGTTTATTGTATTAAAGTCTTTATAGTTTCATCAGTCCACTTACCTTTGGACAGAAGCAACAGATCTTCAGAACTCAGCTGACTTGTTCCTCACAGCTCTATGGTTTTTATTTTGTTTTCTACACATCATTATTGATATTCTTCACAAAGACCAGAGGGATGTTTTCACAGAATAAAGAGTGAATAATTTGACTTTAGTTTGAATCTCATAGAATTATTTCTTTTATTCTCACACTGTAGCAGTCTCCTTCCACAATGTTTTCATTTTAACAGATTTATCTCGATATTCATTTGTTCCAATGAGTACTGGAGTTCATTTATTGTCTCTAACTGTAAAATATTTCTTAAAAGTCTTGATTTTTTGAAACTTGAATACTTAATTCTGGGAATAAATTGCAATAAAAGTWCTTTCTTAGGTCTTTTTTCCTCAACAGTCTAACGCCAACAATAGTGCAAATAATGACTGTATAAACATTTTTATTTGATATTTTATTCAGAGTTAGCAGTGGTGAGCACCAGCGGGGCCGGATTCATTTTTTAGGTGGGAGGGCGGGGGTGGGTGGTGTGTCGTCACCTTGCATTCTCTGTTCATATGCGCGCACATGTTTAATTTTGACACACGGTAATGTCAGTGAGTACTTTCACAGTCATCAGATCTGTAACAAACTCCAGCTACTTTTGGACGAGCACAAATAATGACAATTACTTGTCTGCTCCGACAGCAAAAGTTATCTGCTCTGTGCCAAATATAGGTGAACATTTGGCCCAGACCCAGAAAAGGACCTGAGCCCCCATCCCCCAGTCCCATAATTTTGTTCTGGTAATCCAAATGCAAATTACTTTCAAATAAATTGTGATCCGTGCTCTGCTACCTCGGTTAGCTAAAGCTTACTGCTACTTCTGGTGTTTGACAGGAAGCCATTCCCATAAACATTTCTACAGTAGTACCTCCAGGAATAAGTTTGATAGAAGTGTGCATTATGCTGCGKTCCAGCAGATCTCGAATTGAGAAGTCTGACTGACGTCAGTTCCGAGTTGAAAGCATTACAGCTTTCAGCCTGTCAGAACATCAGAAAAATTGCTCTGCTGGAATAATGCAACAATAATGCAGCAATAGYGCTCTACACAGCATTTTGAGTGTACAAACAGCGTTAGCCTAAAAACCAGTATAAAGTACTACAAGTACRACTGACTTAAACAACACAGAACTGCTAAAAACCATAGGAGTAAAGAGTTTCACTCAGTGTTGATGCAAGGAGCAGCCATGTTGAAATGGTGATGTCACGTGTGCTCGGGTTGTGTTGCACAGACTTCCCGACTCTAAATTACAATACGTTGATATTTTCAACTCGGAAGTCTCCGACCTCCGAGTGCAACTGGAATGCAGCWTTAGTCTTCATCTAAAGTTCTATTTCCCCTTTAATCTAAATGAAGATGTGAGTGTTCCTGCTATAATCTGAGTCAACATGAAGTTTCAGGAGGTGAACAGCAGGGGGCAGGACTGACCCACAGCAGCACCTGGAGGCTCCAGAAACACAAACTTCCAGTCCAGTCAGTCAGCATTTACTGTATGTCTTACATGTGATTAAATGAAAAGAATGTATGATAAATTAAACTAAATTCTTCTTCTTCTTCTTCTTCTTCTTCTTCTTCTTCTTCTTCTTCTTCTTCTTCTTCTTCTTCTTCTTCTTCTTCTTCTTTGTTTCCAAAAATTGATCATTAACTCTTTGTTGCCATGAAAACCATGTAAAATCTGACCTTTTAAATTAAACTGAAAGTTTTTGTTGCTTGATGAGTTGAATGAGATTATAAACAACACAAAATCTTGGCTAAAAGACATTTTTTTAAAGGAGGAGGAGGAAGGTCAGGGGAGCAGATGGATCCCCGTCTGTCTGACCCGTTTAAAAAGGACTGAAGGCAAAGCCCCGAGTCCCACCATCCAGTTCTTGTCTTCCGCATCCTGGAGCTGTCAGAAACACCAGACCCATGTTTCAGTCCAACCCACTCTAATAATCATAAAGTATTTTAGCATCAGATGATGCTGGAGTTTTTTTTTTTTTTTTTTGACAAAATAAAAGCTGAATTTTCTGGTTGTTTTGGGTCCAGACTGTCAGTTCTGTCCTCTGGTGTCAGATGGTCCAATGAAGCCRACAGAAGAGGATCAGACCTCATTAACCAGAGTCATGTTGCTGTAATCAGATCCTCTCTGAGTCTGTCTGATGGGAAAGTGTTCTGGAGGGAATTACACTTTGTGTCATGAGCAGGATTATAATCCCAGGGATTCTAGAAACTACAGCTCAGATGTTTCAGCACTGACTGAAGTTTGAAATATTTGTAGCACTCATATTAAATTGAAACATGATTCTTTTATTACTTTTGAGTGTTCATGATGTTAAACAGGACAACTGGGAGTTTTTGCAATCATTATAAAGAAGTAAAGTTTGAAACAGTGGATGTTAAATAATTGCTAAAATTTCAAACATCACAATAAAAAGGAAATGTCTCATTCAGATCTGGAACCATGGTCCTCAGTCTGGAAAAMGTGGACTGTCCTCTCATTAGGGGGTTGGTCTATTGTGGTTCAGAGGGAGCTGAGCTGTAAGAAGATCTCTATCAGTCATTACTCCTACCCCCACCTGTGGTCAGGAACTCTGGTAGTGACTGAAAGATCCAGATCTCAGATCCAGGAGATCCAAAGGAGTTTTCTCTGCAGGGTAGGTGCACTCTCTTTTGTCTGAGGAGTTCAGTTCTCCAGGAGAGACTTTGGGAGCTGGTCCTCAACATCCATTGGAACCAGCTGAGGTGGTTCATCTGGTAAGGAGGACACTTGGACRCCTCCCTAGGGARGTGTTCTGGACAWGTCCAACTGGTAGGAGACCCTGGTGAAGGACACAGGACCCAGAATTGAGAGACTATGTATCTCAGCTGGTCTAGGAAGACCTTGGAGTCCTCCCAGAAGATCTGGAAGAGGTGGCTGTATAAAGAGAGGTCTGGATCTCCCTGATCAAGCTGCTGCCCCTGAGACCTGACTCTGGAGCAAGAGGAAGATGATGGATGGATGGACCTTCCTCTTCCTTCCAGAGGAAGCAAAAAAAAAAAAAAAAAGGAAAATGTGTCTTTTTTAAACTTACTACCAGCAGATGGCAGCAGAGCAGTTTGACTCACTTCCTGTTGTTCAGATGTTTTCATTCACCTCTGGAAAAATCACTATCATGAAAACACAAATGATCGACACTAGAACCCCTCCAGTCCTGACCTTAATGCATTTGTATAAAAACACATCCTGAGAGTTTTTATAAAATTCACACATCAATGTTAAAACATCAGCAGCCGAACAGTAATGAAACGTTCAGCCTCTTTCAGAAGTTTTAAATAAATATTTCTGACTGACACGTTTCTTTTTAGAAGCTTCCTGMTAAGGTGAATGACCGGCTGAACACAACCACAACCAACACTACTACTGACCTTGTTTACTCTGTGACCCAGTTCCCTGAACCCACACAGCTGCAGAACAGGACCCATTTCATTTAAATAAAACTTATAGAAGAAAAAGTATGAACAATTTTGTTTGGTGGATTATTTTTGTGTCACAGTGCTTCATATTAAAAAATGTAAGAGTTTAAAGTTAGTCTCTGTTAAATTGTGCCTCGTTTGCATGACTCTGGGTTATGCAAATAAAAATGTTCCCTGCCCATTATTCTGTTGTTGTTTCTGGTTACATTTGATTTATTGGGTTGGGTGATTAAACTCTTAAGAAACAAGACATGTTGGATATTAAACTATTTATGTGACATAAAAGCACCTCAGGAGCATGCAGTAGAACCATACACAGCCTCTCTGAACATCARAGATCACTTTGCCTCCACGAGTACGTCCACTTTTGTCCAACAGACACACAACAGACACACAACAAGCTTTCCAGGAGCTGCAGGTGCAATCTGGAAAYTGGACGTTTTCTTTCAGTCCCAGTGGAGGACTGTATACGTTCTTTGTGTGATTTAGGTGAGGTTGAAAATGAGATGCACTTTTTGTTTTACTGTCCTTTAAATGTGATTTTGAGAAATGCATTGTTTAGAAAAGTTATTGATGTTTATTCAGATTTTTTTCTTTTATTTAACTGACAAAGACAAAATYCAGTATTTATTTGGGTATTTTGTATTTCAGATAGCACATTTTTTGTTAAAAGGGACAGGGAACACCCTGGACAGGTTGAAAGTCCATCACAGGGCCACATAGAGACAAATGAAACAAAYAACCATTCTCTCACTTTCACCTAGGGACAATTTAGAGTTACCAMTTAACCTAACAGTCATATTTTTGGTCGGTGGGACGACGCCGGAGTACCAGGAGAAAACCCACGCATGCACAGAGAGAACACGCAAACTCTATCCAGAACGGGATTTGATCAGGTGACCTTCTTGCTGAGAGGCATCRGCTGAGCCATGTCGCCATTGTCAACAGCTACCTAGCTAAATTTAGCTACATTAAGCAGTGGTTACTCCTAGYAGCAAGACTTTAGCTTGAACTGCGTTAGGAGCAAATAATTTTAATGATTCGGGATTTTCATTTTTATTTGTAACAAAAAAAACTTTTGAAATGTTTTTGTTTATTTTAAAGAACTGACAGTTAAAAATAAATGTGAAGCAACCATTTTGTTTGTCATTTCTTCAAAGTTACTTAAATATTTAAAACTACTCTTTGTGAACAAACACTGAGCACTGAATTAAACATTTATAGTACATTGTAAAAAAACATGTCAGAATGTGTCATTAAAGAGAAAATATGGTCTTTACCATGTGCAAGAACTTGCGATTTCTTTGGTTTCACATAGAAATGTAAATGAATTAACACAATTAATTATGAAAATGTTACAAAACTGCATGTTTCTCATGTGAAAAGCTCATTTCCTCAGAAAYCTATCTTCAAAATTGATCAAAGTTGTGTTTTTCACATGTTTTTGTCCTGGAAAAACTTGTAATTTCATAGGGTTCTTTTGAAAATTTACACCAACATCACATTTTATGTCATAAAATGTTCCAGAACTGGTTGTTTGCAGTGGGTTTCACATAGAAATGTTTTTTTAGCTGTCCTACTATAAAACTGAGTACAGTGCAGTAACTGTATTTCACACAGACAGTCAAGTTTTAGGTAAACTATGGTATTTTAGATTTTTTTTTACACAGAAATGTTTACAATTACAGGTCAATTTCATCTAACTAAACTTTTATTTAAGCCTAATTTAAGATTTTATTATTAAACCAAATCATACTAAGAACCATTTTTCAGCAGAACCTGTTAAACATTCATCATCTTTAATATAATAATCTGGTCTGAAACTGTTTTCAATCATCTTTCTGAGTTTTGTTTTGAAAGAATTAATTGCTCTTCAACCCTGGACTCTTAAAAATTATATTCAGAGTTTATGCCTTTTATTATAAAATAATGACTCTCTGGTCTAATTAGGTCTTTAATGAAGCCATTGAGTTTTTTGTCAAATGCATTCAGAATAGTTTTTTGTTAACACAACACGACCAGCATCATTAAACATTTTCTTTTTTTCTTTCAGTTGAAAATGAGATTCTAACTCATTGTCTTTTGAAAAAAATAAAACAAATGTCTTTTAACACTTCTGTTTTGTGGATATATCATTTTTTTAGCTTTTAACGATGAAATGTTTGTTCTGGTGAGGTCACCAAACTTTATCAGTGACAAAAACCCAAAGGACACTTACCTTTAAAAAACGAGCTGTCCTTGAGTTCAAACCGTGCCCAAACATCGACACATGACTCCACGAGTCCGTCCACTTTTGTCCAACAGACACACAATAAGCTTTCCAGGAGCTGCAGGTGTAAACGGCCCGGACTCATGGTCAGGTTGAATTAAGAATAAGAGCAATAACTTGTTGGTAAATTCCAGCTTCACAGACCTAAATGAACAAAAATTGAGGTAAGRTTTCATTTCAAAACATCAGAAATACATCTTTGCTTTAATTTTTTATTCACAGATCAATCAACATGCCAATGGGCTCTGTGAGACTACAGAGCATTAAAAAACTGGGCCAAGAGAACCACAGCTATGAAGTTTCAGAAGAAGGTAAATCTGTGGGTCTTAGACAGAGAACTGGGTTCAATTTGAGCTAAATGTTGGTCCACTGATGGTCAAAACTTCACCAGTGGTTAACAAAATATTAGATTTAATGCCTTCTTTKTCATGTTGCAGAACCAGCTGGCTCCTACATGTGAGTACATGATGGATTCATTMATGTGTAAATGTAAAATACACAATGACTAACTATGTTCAACATCTGCATAAATCATTACATTATTGATTGTTCTTTAAACACCWGAAAATTGTGACACATTCAAACACCTCATTGATTTTTAAATAGATAATTATTTAAATACTTTTAAAAACATTTTAAACCGAAAGTTCACTAACCTGTAAAACTAATGAGGTGGTYCACCTGGTAAARATGACCCCTGGACGTCTCCMTAGGGAGGTGTTCTGGACATGTCCAACTGGGAAGACCCAGGAGACTCTGGAGAAACTAGGTCTCTCAGCTGGTCTGGGAACACCTTGGAGTCCTCCCATAAGACTGGAAGAGGTGGCTGTGATCCAGCTGCTGCCTCTGAGACCTGACTCTGATGGATGGATGGATGGATAGATAGAYAGACTGATGAACRGATRGATGATGGACRAATGGATGGGTGGATGTATGGATGATGGTTGAATAGACGGATGAATGGTAGATGGATGATGGACGAACAGACGGATGTATGGACAAATGAATAGATGATTGATGAAGAATGGATGGATGATGGTTGAATATATTGATGGATGGATGGATGGATGGATGGATGGATGGATGGATGGATGGATGGGTAGATTGATGGATTGTTGGTCGAATAGATGGATAAATGTATAGATGATGTGGGATTTCTCCATCTTGCTTGTCTTCACTACTTCAACGCTTGCTTATTTTCTCATTCCATTAATTTGTTTCAGTGCTCACAAAACACCAATCGCCTTCAGATTTTTGTTGTAAGGATGCAGTTTTCTCTGTTTAAACTCACTTTCTGGGTTTTTAGTTGTGCTCACAGAGAATCCTAGAACATAAGCTTAGCATGTTGGCTAACAGCGTGTAATGGAGTTAGCCATCATGCTAAGGTACTCACACTCTTTAAAAACATACATTCTGCCTGCAAAATGTTAAACTGGTGCTCTTATCTTCACTTCAACTTACTGTATAAACCCTAAATTTATAAAGCAACAGTGGGGATTCAGTCTTTAAATTCTCTTWGTGCCTTTATCACAAAGAGTAAGCCAGAGGCACTCAGTTCTGTTTTCTTCCCCACAGGTCCATGAGTAATTCAAAGGAAAAGGAAAAGTGGGTAACAAACAACTTAATATGCTCAGGAGTACTTTGTTGCTTTCAACTGTTAAATAAAAAAAATTTTTTTTCTGTTTTAAACAGAGTTCAGGGGGATCCGGAACAACCAGCAATAAGAGTTGGCTTCTTTCAGCTGGTAAAAAAAAGATTAATATTAGTTTGTTGCTTTTCTTTCATTTTAAGAAGTTTGCACATTTAATCCAACTGAGTGCTTCACATGCTGACATGTTTGTTCAGTTCCGTTTTGCCACGTGTAAGGACGTGCTGATGATGGTGGTGGGCAGCATCTGTGCGGTTCTGCACGGCTCGGCCAGCCCGCTCATGCTGCTGGTCTTCGGCCTCCTCACCGACACCTTCATCGACTACGACATCGAGCTCACCGAGCTGAGCGACGACCGCAAGGAGTGCGTGAACAACACTATCCAGTGGAAGAGGAACTACAATGGAACCCTCAACTTGGACCAGTCAGTCCTGGACCAGATGGTCCTGAACCAGTCTATCCTGGGCCTCTTTGATAATTCAACACTTGAGATGTTTACCCCTCTGGGCAACTTGTCCTGTGGGTAAGTGGGTTGTGAGAAAACTATGATTTGGGCTCTTTTAGCTGCATATTTAATACASAAGTGTGATTTTAAAAGGTTTGGACATGCAGCTGAGGCTCTGTGTAGTCTCCAGGTCCTCATGTATGTTTCATTAACTGCCTGTTTGCTGATTTTCAGGCTTCTTGACATCGAACATGAGATGACCCTGTTTGCCTTGTATTACGTTGGAATCGGACTCTCCGTATTCTTGCTGGGGTACCTTCAGGTTCGTCACATAAACAGAYTTGTCTCTACACCAATCCAATCTTTCAGGACGACGACGTTTGATCCGCGAAACCTTTAAAAGAAATTAGATGTTCGGCAGCAAAAATAGTCTCCAGCTGCCTTGATATTCTGCCAGCAAGCTTTTATTCATCTTTTTCTGTGCCACAAGGTCTCCTGCAAATAGTGAGCTGCATTTGTCACAGGCTGTGAAGACTCCATTTACCAACCCCTGTAGCAATTTATTAAGCAGCAGCAGATTCACAGATAACCAGAATATGTTTAAAAGATCCGGTGATTTCCAGACAGAGGAGACATTTGAAGCTCAATCCGTCTAATTTAAGGCCTGAGTCGACTGCAACCTGGAAACTAATAACGCACCTGAGTAAGCAGAAAACAGGGAGACACCCAAAGCTTCAAGGCACAKAAATCTGTTAAAGATCATTGTTCAATGATATCAATAAGCACTGTACAAGTTAATTGATTTTATAATTGCATTCATGGTTTTCATTAAACACAAAGTAGCTCTGAAGAGGTTCAGTGCATTTACCTAAATGTCTCAGGTGGAGGAGTTCAGGTATCTGGGTKTCATGTTCCTGAGTGATGGTAAGATAGAGATGGATCAAAAATCCAAGATGGCAACCACAGCTAACTTTAAATGAATATATTCAGTCATTTTGACACTTGCTGAGCTGAAATTCAATGTGGTGTAGGTAAGAATGACATCAGAAACACATGCCAATTGCTAATCATCCCATCTAAGCTAACTGCTAATGCTAACTCTAAATTAAAAAGGGCTACAGTTCAGTTATTTTACACAGCTTTTAGGTGCTGAGAAAGTCTTTTTAACACAAAACTCAAGGTGGTCTCTAAACCTACTTTCTACAACTCAGCTACAGAAATATTAAGTTGAAATTTGGTGTGGTAGCCAAGAGCTGACCCCATGACATTTGGAAAGCGAATCTCAAATTTAAACTAAGGGCTAACGCTATTTTGAGAAAGATATATTTCGGCCACAATTTGATGCACAAAACTGATAATTAACATAATAGTGGCCGGCAATAATCTTCAGCATATCCTGCATGCAAGACTAATTTCAAATGGCAGACAGATTATCTGTAGAACTGCCTTTACTGTTCAGACTGGATGAATGGGACCAGCAGTCTCACTGAAGGTGGTTTGATTTTCTGTTTTGGGGTTGTTGGCTGTGTCCAAAACGGCAGGACGGGTCCTCCGAAGGTCGAATTTGTCGGCCGCATACGTCACAGTGCCGCGACGAAGGCCGTCCAAGGCTGTGTCCAAAACGGCAGGACGGGTCCTCCGAAGGTCGAATTTGTCGGCCGCATACGTCACAGCGCCGCGACGAAGGACGTCCAAAACGGAAGACTCCTCCGATGCGTCCGACAAATACGTCCTTCTTTTTCCCCGAATCGAAGGACAGGTCTGATGGATCCTTCCCGGCCCAGCATATCCTATAATGCATTGCGGCCCGACCAGAGATTTTTTTTTGCTAGTAAAAGGCGGACGAAGTGAGAGAAAAGAGTAC